CAACCGTGCAGAAATTCATTCAGCCTCACATCAAACAAGCTGCCAAGAGAAAACACCAGGTACGGAGCTCCTCCCATTGTCCTCTATGGCAACTGTGGTTCTAAAGGCCTTTTACACGCACACTTGGAGTAAATGTCACCTTGCCGCGGCAAAAAAAGAAATCCAGTGGCGGCAAGGCCTGAATGATGCTGAATGCCTTTCGGAGCCTCTCTTCCCCTGATGGAACAAATCCAGACCGGGGGTGCAAAGTTCTTCAGGTCCCTGAGATTGTGTTGCAGGTCAGGCTGTCATGTGCCTGTATTCCGTTGGGTATTCCAGACGGCCTTCAGGGTGCAATGCGAAGAAAGCCACAAGCATTGACTATGTCCACCTCAGCTTTCGCTCTCCAAAAATACAGGATTTGCGCGTCTGGCCCATTCTGTGGATGGACACAATCCGCTTCGCACCAGTTGGGATGGATGAAACGATGAAACCCTATCAATACTGGAATAACCACCTACAAACGGGTGCAAGATGTCGTCCTGCTGTTTCTCCGTGTGAGAACCCACCAGGCTGATTCAAATCGCGTTTTTTTGTTGCGCCTGAATTGTTCAAGCGGATGGTGACGTGTGGGAACTTTGCTTCTCGCATTCCCCGCTGCCTGGCCAAAGGCTCAACCTCTCCTTGGCTTCCGCCACGGCATTGGCATCCTTGGCGAAGTCGCACAGGCCCTGAAGGCCAGTCCCCCGGCCCAGCGAGGGCGGCCGAAACGAGGGACCCTTTTGCCGGTTGCGCCAAACAACAAGGGAACACGGCTGCCATTAAAGAACTGGGGACCGAGTCATACTAAAGAGACTCATGGGTTGCTGTCGAAATGGCCGGAGTCCTAAGTGGCCATTCCAGCTTTCATTAGCCTGCTCAAGGGTTTGTCAGAACGCTGGGCTGGGAGTTCCATCCATGACGCAAGCGGGACACATGTGCAATGGTCTCAACAGTTGTTCTACAGTACCCCCGACCGTCGGAAACTATCATTTCCCAAGGGATGCATCTGCTGGGTAGCCAGTACCTTGCAGTGTTGACCTGTCGGTGGTCGAGGGGCCATCATGCAAAGCAAACAAGGGCTGATTGAGTGACGCAAATAGCGCCGAATAACAATACACGACGTGACGTGCCATCTGTCATGTTCGACACCTTGTGATAAACACATACATTGATGTGCGCCTAATATGGTGAAATGGTGACATGTTACTACTATTTGTTCTCATTTTCAAAAGGCTCGTAACTTCCGAAGAGAAAAACAGGAACTGTCTGGCGTGGGGGGGTTGTAATGACTCATGCCCAAGGAATCGCAGCCACCTCTCAGGAAGGAGTCGTGCGGGCAGCAGGGCGAACAAAACTAACAAGCAAGCAAGCAAGCAAGCAAGCAAGCAAGCAAGCAAGCAAGCAAGCAAGCAAGCCAGCAAACAAACAAACAAACAAGCAAACAAGCAAACAAACAAACAAAAACGAACAAACAGACAAACAGACAACCACGCAAACAAAGAAACAAACAATACGGTCGGACCGTAAAACAACCAACACAAACACACGCGCAAACACAGACACACGCACACACACAGACACAGACACGGACACAGACACAGACACAGACACAGACACAGACACAGACACGCACACACACACACACACCCACCCACCCACCCACCCACCCACGCACACACACACACACACACACCCACCCACCCACGCACGCACGCACGCACGCACGCACGCACGCACGCAACGCACACGCACCCACGCACCCACGCACCCACGCACCCACGCACCCACGCACCCACGCACCCACGCACCCACGCACCCACGCACCCACGCACCCACGCACCCACGCACCCACGCACGCACGCACGCACGCACGCACGCACCCACACACACACACACACACGTAACTCGATGAAGCACGCAACAAACAAAGGAACAAACAAAGCACCAAACACTGAACCAGCCAACCTACCAATCAATCCAATCACATCAAAACCAATGAAACCATATCAAATCCAATCCAATCCAATCCAACAATCAATCAATCAAATAAATAAACAAATAAATCAATCAATCAAATCAATCAATCAATCCAATCCAATCCAATCCAATCCAATCCAATCCAATCCAATCCAATCCAATCCAATCCAATCAATCAATTAATCAATCAATTAACAAGCGTCTACTGTGCTATGGTCCTCCAACAGTACATTGTCCTTACAAGCATCTTTTGATCCCACATCAAACAAACTGAGCAATGAAGCGTCACCAATCTGACCAAACGCCTCTCAGGCCGCCTCTGAGGCCGCCTCTCGACTTTCAGACCTTCCCGTCGAGCCATTTCAGACGGCAGGCAAACACACCTCCGACGCCTTGCAAAGCGAAAGGAAACCGCCGCCTCAAAGGCTCCCCAGGTTGAGAGCTGATTGTCGATGCGGGGGGAGGAGATAAACTCCTTGTAGAGGCCCACCAAGTTGGAGGGCTGGCCAAGCAAAACGAGCGAGACCACGCAACAAATCCCGGTTGCAACCGGTGAACCTAGCAGAAAAAGGGAGCCATTTTGGGGTAGACCGCTTTGAGTTGGGAATGAAACAACATAATGGCAAAAAGGGCACCACTGGCAAATAGAGAGGCTTTCCATTAAAAAAAACGCTGGGCAGGGCTACCGAAGAAAGCCGTTGTTGCTTGTCGACTCCCCATATTGGAGCTCACAGGGGCTGCTTGCCTGTCATGACCAGGCTAATCCTAAGCCAAGTAGGAATATGAGCAACATCCTGCGCATTCAATCAAAACAAGACTATAATTTAGATCGTTTTGCGTCAGCTTTATGTTTGCAGTGTATGACATATTGTGAAACCAAATCCCGGACCCTGTTGTTACTTGCAGGCAAAGCACCGATAGTGGACAAGGGTCAAGCCAACTGCAAGCACTTTTTGCTGCCAACAATTCAAAGCCACAAGATCCTACCGATCCCCAAAGCGGACCCAATTCTGACTAGATTCAGATGCTAAACAGGTCTTCATGTTCAGTGCTTTTCAATTGCAGCAACCTCTGCGGACTTTTTGGCGGTCAGCCTTGAACCAATGCATTTGTTAACTTTCGTGGGCTAAATAAAAGAAGGGAGGAAGAAAAAACAAGAGAAAACCAGAGAGAGAGAAAGAGAGAAAGGCAGAGAAAGCAGAAAATGAAGAGATAACGAACAGAAAAAAAAAAAAAAAAACAAGCGAAGGAGAAAGATAAAGAGGGAAAGGAAAAAGACAAATATCAGGAAGAGCAAATGGATGAGGAAGAAAAAGAAAAGGAAGAGCAAGAGAAAGAGAGACGAAATGCGACAAACAAAGAAGTACATAAACAGAAAGAGAAAGAGGAAGAGAAAGAGAGAAAAGGGGGAAGAAGCGTGCTCCAAACTACAATTATTGTATACTTAGTATGAAACTTCCGCCCGGCTTTACTGCTAGTATAAATGTATTATGATTGACATGTATATCTACGGCTGCAATGAATTTGATAAGGCTGCTCTGCATACAAGAGAGAGAGAGAGAGAGAAAGAGCGGGAACACAAAAACAGAAACAAAAAACGCGAGAACAACTGGGATCCCTTTAATCTCTTTGTTACCGGTGACTTTAAAGATGAACTGAGGCTCAATCGGGTGGCGCATGATTCACGCAAAGGGAGAATGCGGACAATGTTCACGGCAACAGTGCAGTTAGGTACAAATCGGCACTCGTAAGTACTTGCTTGTGAGCAAATCATATTGATAATCGTTCGTGGCAAATCTCAGAGTGAATCCCGGTGGATGTTGTCACGTTTTCCCAAATAGACTCTCGAGGAATTTGGCTATTGGTCCTCGCCCACACCACCGCCAAACCCAAGAACCACTAAGTACTTTTGCATTCAGGCGTGTGGACGTTTCTCATGGCCCAGGGGTTTTGAGGCCCGCGCAGCGCCTGCGCTTTTGGCTTCAGCTTTTCGCTGGGTCTCTGCATGCTTTGCATGCAGGAGGTGGTTTCCCACCGAAGTAACCACTGACGTGCAGCGCTGCTGTCTGATGCTTGCTCGCCAAGAATATGGGAACACCTCTTGCTCGTGATTTCAAAGTCCAACAACATCTAAAACAAGCTGCAACTGAAGCATGACAGTACGCAGGCCCCTGTGACATGGCTGAATACGAACGGCTCAGGCGCCCGACATCTCGCGCTTTGCTCTGTTCGCCTTGCTCCTCCTCAGCGTGTCCTCCTGGGGTTGCTCTGCAACAAAGCGGGAACATCTGCCAGAGCTATGGGTTGCGCCCACTCGTATTGCCAGAAAGCTAATTGCAGGCCACAGGGCAAGATCTAAGTTATCAGGCAAGTTTGGGAAGCAAGTCAGACAAGGGTAAGACTTCTGCTACGACTTGTTGAAACAAGTTCGGATTCGATGCAACTATTCATGACGTGGTCTGAGACAATGGGACGTATGTGGAAGCGACTGGCTGAGAGTGGGTTGTGTGATACATGTGCTTGGTTCAGAGAAATCGGAAACTCGCATAGACATCCAGGGCGATTTCCGCTAATCCTTTCTCTTGGTTGATACAATGCCACTTCCACGGAAACACGCAACAGACATTGCAAGCGTTTCGCCTTTTCTCAGCTTCCAAGAGGCTTTACAATGTCAGTTTGACGGTGCTTTCTGCAACAAAAAGCGTTCCTTTCAAGGAAGCCCAAGCATCCCCAAGTCAGGTACAAGCCTAGAGCGAATCAGCCCAAACCAACAAACTACTGGGTATTTTGAAGTGGCATCCTCGCAGAATTCCCTATATACATGGTGGCCTGTCAGACTCTGTCAACAGATTTCTCGAAACCACCGGCGGCGCATTGCTCCAGCATGGCGGCGCGCGCCGCGCGGCGCAGCGCCTGATGCGGCAGCTCATCTGCTGCCCCTCTGCGTCTTGGGGATCACACGTATTGCATTGTTTGTTTTGGGGACACCGGTTTTTGCCCGGAATTAAGGGGCAGCCAATGGACTGCCATTTTGGGGGTTTGCCTGGTTGTCCGGCTTTGAAAGGCTGAGTGTTCATTGCACAAGCAAACAAAACAAAAACAGAAGGGCACCAAACAGGTGAGGAAACTTAGACTATGCTGTGAGGGGCAGAAGCAACCCGGGTGTTGGGTGCTGCTCACATTTACCTCAGCACATGCAATGCCACGCTCGAATAGTTTGATTGATTGTGGTCCATGTTTAATCGATTCTTCAAATGTCAGCTCCAAAGGGACCCCAACCAGGTCAAAGTGGTGGCAACAAAGTAGATTACAATTACGACTGGCAATCCTGCAACCCTAAGCATCCCAACTTCATTGGGGGTGTCGTAGAGCTGCGGGGTGTGGGGGAAGGTGTTCTTGAGGCCCAGAGGCAATAGGGTTGTCACAGGGACACCCCCGGGGTGTCGTAGTGAGGGCCCAAAGCTCCGAGTGCAAAGTTGCGCGTGACAGTGCAATGCAAGCATTCCAGCAGAAACTTTTAGGCGCCCAGCCACACAGACTTGCAACATATCAAGCATTCAACCATATATGCAAAGTTGTTTCTTCGCTTTCGCTCTCACAAGAGTCGCCTGCAGTTGAAGGGTAAGCTCCGACTACCTACGCTCTGTTTCACGCTATGTTCGGAGATGTCTCTCTCAATGCGTTGACGCTTAAGCATTAAGGCCGCTGCGTCAAAAGCAAAACCAAGTTGGGCCTTTAGAGCCGGAATGCTGAAAACTGCAAACAGAAAGAGCACATCCCCTGAACTAGCTGGGTTTATCTTTGACCAGGTGTTTGCAGTTCTCTACGTGGGGAATAGAAAATTGCGAGCCCGCCAACCTAGTAAATGAGCTTGCGCTTTTTGCCTAAGTTGACCTCTTGTTTTTTGACAGCGCTTCTTGGGCCAAAATCGAACACATAGTAATCATAGGCTTACGTGCTAAACATCATTGCGTCGATTACCTGACGCGAACTTTTATCACTGATATCACCTTCCAGCAGCGCTGGTAACGGTGTAACGATGCGTGCCTGAAGACAAGTCCAACATGGTCACACCAATCTTTGTCTAGTAGAAGCCGGTTCCGGGGTGCAGATGAGAACTTGCTTCAAACTTTACACATATGCGAAGCGAAGGTACTGATGTGTGCTGTACTTTCCGGTTCGGGCTTACTCCCTTATTCTGCGCGTTTTGCCAGTGGCAACGATGGACCAATCACGGACCCTTCGCTCACTTTAGCATTTCCACTAAACATGTTTGACAGAATCGAAGCAACAACAAACACCACCCGAGAAAGGTTGCGAGATGCTAATACACACAAAGCATCGCAAAGGACACACACCCACACACACGCGCACACAGGGGCACCCAGTATATCTCCTAACCCTAGGAGCCCAAGACCTCATTATTTGGGGCCTTTGGCCTGAAGGCTTTCAAACTCAAATTCTTTCCGATGCTTTCCGACGCGTTCTGGCGCTTTCCGGCGCGTTCCGATGCTTTCCGACGGCTGGGGCGTCACGGGGCGTCAAAACCTTGCAATTTTGACACCCCCTTTCCGACGTTTCCGATGCTTTCCGATGCTTTCCGACGTTTTCCGATGCTTTCCGATGCTTTCCGACGTTTTCCGATGCTTTGTGATGCTTTCCGACGTTTCCGACGCAAAAGTTTGACCGCCCCCGCAGTCAAAGAAACATTACCACCGCCACGCATATAGCTCATGCCCAAAACACACACGCAAGTGCTCCAGCGTGGACCCACAGGCACTTGGCTTGGCAACAAGCAATTGCTTTGGCTAAGTGTACTGTTGATGAGCCAGGGTCACGTGGGTACGTTACCAAAGGAGGAGACACGCGCAAAAGCTTGACCTTTAGACGGCACACTCCAGCTGGAATGCACTGATGCAATACCTGGCAAACCCTTAATGGGAAATATCGAAAGGTTGGGTTTCAAACAGATCTTGGCAGAAACAAACCAGTCCGATATACCCAGTGTGTTGGAATATGTGCGCTTAACCAAAGCAACGCTACCGACCTAAATTGCTCGTGAGAAACTCGCGTTCGCTCAATGCCGCGTCACGCGCCTGCCAGAGTACAAGAGCAAATGGATCCCCTTTGTTGCTGCGTTCTGCTTCGAACTGGTTTGGTCATTGACTCCGCTTCCGTAGATGTTTGACCAGGGGTGGAGCAGTTTGTTTCTGCGAGGTGTTAATTACGAACCTTCCCAAGCATGATACTGTGACACATTTGGCAGGCAAAAGGTGGAATGACTAGTCAACATGTTTGTTTCGCCACTGGCGGAACAGGGCCAGGCAGCGTGAGGAATTGGAACACGCGCGTTGCAACTTTGCAAAGCGACGCGAGGCATCGTAAACATTGGGAAGGGTTGGAAAGCGTCGGAAATCTCAGAAAGCACCGGAGCTTGCCAACGTTAAAATCAAAGGCTTGAAGGACAGAAGCGGTGGAACGGTGTGGGATGTAAATTTTCGA